AGAGAAAAATGCTTCTCTTGATGTGCTATCCTTTCTTTTACACAAGGTGAGTCTAACAAACTCGGAGCTATATACTCAGCTATAGCTTTCCCCAATACATCTGTTGTTTTGTTTTGTTTTGTTTTGATATAACCATCTCCTGTCCAGTCCTGTCCCTGGCTCATAATATTCATCATGTATCAGTGGTTTTTGGCTGCTAGTCTGTATTTTTCTTGTCAGTCACCACAAATGCCTTTTAGTTTAGATATTTAACAACATTAAAAATATATTGTAAGATATGTTAAAAGTCTCACTGATCTTCATCATACTCTTGAAAATTACTAATAAATATTTTTTTTCTAAATTATTATTCCCTGTCACTTAGGAAAATATTGTTATTTTTCATCCTTTTATGTCAACTTCCATAAGAATATGTTATCTCTATTACTCTCATTCACATAGCCTATGTATACTTGTATAAATATTCTTAAATAGCTCAATAAATTTTTAAAATTTCAGAGCAAGCGTCATTTTATCTTCCTCTGAAAATGTCTAAGTTACTTATGGTCACATCATAAGTAGATAGATGCCTATTAATAAGTGAGCATCAACAAATGAAATGTCTAGACTACCACTTCATAGTTATCTTTCTGACCAAATGTCTCTCTTTTAGAAAAGTAAGACAAAGATTTGTAAATGAATGAAAGAAAGCTTTGTTGCTATAAAATGTCCATCATTATAAAACAAACTGCTTTTTAATAAAGCAGACAATTACTCCTGAATTTCAACTCTGGACCTTACGTGGGTAAAAGCTATTCTAAAATGAATTAGCATGTCTTTGAACATCTCAAGAGCTCCTAAGTTTATTCCCTTAAAAATTCACTTTTAGAAAACTAGAGCTGCAGTGACAGCATAAAATGAAAATAAATACAAATGACCTATTTGTCTTACTATAAAAAATGCCAATGATAAAAAAAAAATAGGGGTGACATAAAAATGTTAGAGATAAGAAACTCTTGGAAAATAAGTTGAGGATGCTTCAAAAGTTGAAAGATCTCAATACGTATATCATTTATACTGTCTCCTCCACCCCAATCTCTTAATTTTCATATTTCCATTCATTGCATTTCCCCACTTATTCAGAAGACTGAATAAGTACTCACTGAGTAGTCAGTCTTAGGCTTGAGTCTACTCAATGAGAAATTATTAGACATATTGCATCATCTTTGATTTTTTTCACTCTTACCTCCAATATCTATTATTCAGTAATTGGTAGGAGAGAATTTCATTGAAATGTCTCTTGTGACTGCCTCCCACTGCATAAAGCATAAGCTAACCAGCCTGGAATTAAGACCTTTCATATTTTAGACCAATCTTATCTACTTAGCTTTGTTTTCACTATTCATTTCGTAAAATTCTCTTTCCAGTACCTTTAAAGCTGGAATACATCATACATCTTAAGTAAATTCTAAAATCAAGTCTGTTGTTCTTACTTTATTCTATCGGTAATACCAGTCCTTTAGTATCCAAGTTTTACCTATATTTCATTTCTCAATTTTAATTATACTGATTCTCTTAATAACTGCATTTCATTCATTCATTCATTCATTCATTCATTATTGCACTATTTTCTATACACCTTTTTGAATATGTATGTGGCATACAAAAAGTAGACTTCAAATGTTGTGGGAGGTCAGAGAGCTATAATATAGTCTGCATTTTTCTTATCGACTTTAATTCTACATTTAATTTTTATATAATTGATTTTTCTCCACAGTGAGACTATAGCAATTTGGAGGCTGTGATATTTTGAACTTTCCTTTTATTTCCCACAGTTCTTAGCACAAATATTCATTTGATTGAATCCCTTAAATTTAAAAAAAAAAAAAACCTTGAAAATAATATAATGCTGATTTCATCTCTACTGAGCTTCTGGGAAGAGAAAGCCTATAGAATAACTAGCTTTATAAGCCAGAAGATAAAGTTATTTCGAGGCTGAAATTACTCATTGTCTAAAATATCAGAAAACTAGCTTCTGTTGAAAGGTATTACCTCGTGAAGCATAATTCTTTCTAAGGGACTATCAATAACGGACTGTAAAAATATAGCTGTGATTTTTTTTTAATGTGCTCATTAAAACATTTGTTTAGATTAATTCCAGCCAGATGAAATTTGTGTAGCACCCAGGGAATTTCTCATTCCAAGTGCAGAAGGTCCACTTTGATCATCCTTTACGTCCTTAGAGAAAACTGTACTAATTCTCCATTAGGGACTGGACTCCATTATTCAACTGGGACCAGAGCTGAACAGATGTTTTGCTAAACACTTAACTTCCTCCTCTCTATGGTCTCAGAAAAAGCAAAGCCAATGTTGATTGAAGCTCATGACCTATTACAGAATATAAAACAGTAGCTGGGTTTGAAAAATTTCACGTTGGATAAATGAATACTTGTTCTCTCAGTCCCCACAAGATAGGATCAGTTTTGTTCTAAAAGATTTCTCAAAACAAGGGATTTTCAAAGTTCTATCTGTAATAGTCCAGTGCTTAAAAATTCTCACAGCATGGAAAGCTATACTGATAATAGTTCAGGATTATTATACTTCAGTTTTTTTAAACTACAAAATAAAGAATTGGTCCCCTCTTTATAAGATCTCTTCATATAAATGAAAAATAATATTCAGATATTTCACTCCTGCTTTCTTCTTCAAATGGAATTATTCTACTTCCTTTGAATTTTTATCAGAGACAATATTACTGAGAATTTTTAATCACAATTTTTATTTCTCTCCTGCATTTCCTCCATATATTCTAGATTCTTCATTAGCTGAACAGACCACAAGTACTCAGGGTAATCAAGAGGATAGTGACTAACACCAAGAATATATTCGTTCCTGGCTCTTAAAATTTTTTCTTGCATTTTACTAACCTAATTTCTAATAATGTCTCCATGATTCCTAACTTGGATTTCTTAGACATATAAAGACTGGCATAGTAATAGAGAAATAAGAGACTTCTGTGAAATGTTAATAGAATATGTATATTCACCACTGATAAAACTGCTCCAGAAATTTGGTTTTCAAAACCAAATTTCTCTGCCATTTTTCATGTAGAGGGCTGGACACATTGTAAATATTCAACAAATGTTTCCTAGTAATAAAAAATTGTAAAGTCATTTTAATGTTGTTATTCAATGATTGATACATACATAGATAAATCTTTAATAAAAATAAGAGAACTGATCATTTTTATTAAATGCAATATTTAGGGAGAAACTCCACAGTTTCCATGGAGAAAAATGATAATATAAAGGAATAAAGTTTGGAAAAAAAATTGAATTATGTGCCATAGTTTAAATTTAAAATGAAAGTTTTTTGTTGATCTTCTACATAATCTTTGTTTTTTTCTTCATGAGATATATTAATATTTGTCCTTACAAATCTTCCCTCCTTTCTTGTATGTGATTTCCTACCAATTTCAAGATCTTCTTCAACTGATTTATGCTCTCCAAATTACTATATAGGTTTCTAAATCTGCTGTAATCTTTAAGTGTGCTCTTCATGTTACAATAAATACTCAGCACTAATTAAGTTGTTCAAAAATACTATGATAACAAAATACCTCTGTAAAGAACACTTGGAATGGCTACTGTGCCACTGATTACATATCTTTAGGTACATCTTTTTGTCTAGTTGCTCCCCCATCCATTTGTTATGGGGGATATAGCACATTTCTTTGTTTAGAGGAAATAATCTGCCTGAATGAAAAGAGAGAGAAGAGAAGAGAAGAGAAGAGAAGAGAAGAGAAGAGAAGAGAAGAGAAGAGAAGAGAAGAGAAGAGAAGAGAAGAGAAGAGAAGTAGAGAAAAGGAAAGAAAGAAAGAAAAAAAGAAGGAAGGAAGGAAGGAAGGAAGGAAGGAAGGAAGGAAGGAAGGAAGGAAGGGAAGGCACCCTGTATCTTGGGAGGCGTATCAAAGGAAATTGGGCAAAACATTCAAAAGTAGCCGAGAGTGTGAGACACAATCTTATAACTGGGAGATGCATCCACACACTCATGTGTATTCTTTATATTTGGTTTAATTTTGTACTCTTCTGTTTCTTTCATTGAGGAGGTGGGGGAGAGACAGAGGAGGGAGGGAGGGAGAGGGAGAGAGGGGGAGGGAGAGGGAGAGAGGGAGGGAGGGAGGGAAGAAAATACCGGAAGAGTTGCAAATGTCAAAATAAATGACTTGAACCATTTTCTCAATCTATTGGATCTGTCACAGAAAACTAATTAGAGGCAAAGGGACTGTTATCTCAGCATCAGAAGGCAACTTATAAAAGAGGGTAAAATATTTCCTTTATATTGTGTTTTAAAAACTGAAACAGTAAAAGTTTTCAACTTTGAGATACTCAGAGGGGTTATAAATTTGAAGGTTCGGGAAACATTCAATTTAATGTTTCTCCACACAGTAGCCTTTGTTTGTTTGCTTTATGCCATGTGTAATAAATGAGCATTAAACAGATTCTACTACATCGAAGTCATGTAGTACACATCTTGAGATGAATATTATAATCCTTGAATGTAAAATCCAAGTATTAGTAACAAGATAAAATCAATGTTTCTTAAAGATGGTCAGTATTCAGTTACCTTCATGAGGAGACATAAGGCAGTTACTACAGAAATGAAGGACATTATATTTGTTCACTGAAATGAAGGACATTATAATTACCAATATATTCGCACAGGCCAATCAGTATTACTGACAGTACTGCCCCTTTAAACTAACTCATCAACTGATAAAGTTCTTATCACAAGTCATTAAAATATTGGCTAACAGATACAAGGAAACAGAGCTCAACTAAAAATGAAATGCTTTTCATCATTCATTAAAATTGAATAAAATTTAGGTAAAAGGAAGCTTGAAAAAAATAAAATCAATTAAGCCTTCCATTAAAGCAAAATTCTATTCTAATTTCACATGAAAAAAGTGGTTCTCTGCAATAGAGAGTTTTCTCTATCTAGGATAAAATAAATGAACTTACAAAATACAGCAGTGTCTTGTTTAATCACAGCAGGAAACTGAGTCTCTCAGAATTCTCCTCGGGTTACTGCCTGAAAAAGAAAATTAAAATAAACAAACTTAAAGGCTGAAGGTTAAAAAATTAACTATAAAGAAACTAAGTTTGTGTAATAAAAAAGAACCCCACAAATATGCCAATATTCAATTTCTATACAGCCAAAATATCTAAATACTTCAGAATATTATGAATGAGTCAAATGAAGTTTTATTTTCTAATAAAAATGTTCAAAATGGTCTCTTCGAGTATAAGATAGAAAAGGTTGTTTATGGCCTCGATGTGCTGCTGAACAAATGAACAACTAAGACAGTCAGCAACAGCCCCAAAGACAGAAAGCAAACTGAAAATCAAACCAGAATATCTGGCCCCAGTTTGATAAAGTTGTTTCACAATGGTATGGTCTGAAATTGACAGAATGTCTTAAACATAATGAAGGTGAATAAAAAGATGACACACTTGAAGGATAAACAAAGGAACATTGTGTGAAGATAAACAAGAGTTTCATCTTTGGATGCATGAAGCAGCACATCAAGAGGAAACATTCACAAGCCACATGCTTCACTGCCTCTTAATATCCCCATATATAAAATAGCACCAACTATTGCACTCCTTATTTGTTTTAGGATTCACTCCAATAAGAGGCAAACATGAGTACAATATTGAATCTCCTATGTCTGGTTGACAGAACTAAGAAAGCCAATGTTCATACAGTGAGCTCGCAACTCTTAGAATCTCTCCACGTTCTTTTTCACGTGATAAAAGATCACAGATGGTATTTTAACAAACTGTACTGATAGATAATATTATTAAGCATTTTTCAAAGAATGTATAGAGTAACACAGTTGTAGATAAAATGACATTTTCGTATTAGAGTTGGATCTATTTATAGAATCAATGTGCCTGGAGCTAAAGCAGAGGTTGTATAATAGTTATTTAAAATAAGATTGCCTATAGAATAAGCTGATTTATAAAAGTCATCTGCTGCTACTGGGAACAGACTGTAACAATATTTGGTAGAAAAATTAAATTCAAACTATATACAAGAAATTGAAAAATCAGATAAATCAGTTAAAGAAATAATAATAATGACAACAAAACTGTTTCCACAAGAGAATACAGTGTATAGGCCTATGAAAATTTCCATTAATTTTAAAATTATTATCAATGGAATTTTTCAATTAGATAATTTTATTTCTATTTCGACTAATTAACGTTTTAATAAATTGTGCATTTTCAAATACCCAAAATAAGTACAGTATTAGCAATCAAATATCCATCAATGATTGCAAATGATTTCTTTTACAAATTAAAGAATGAGATCCTTCGTTGGCTTAGAATAGTTCAACTACTGTCATCCAGTTTTAATTATGACTACCTTCATATTTGCTTAAATTAAAATTAATAACTTGAAATTTTTTCATGTTTTGAAGGATCTCATTTTTAAAGATTACATAACTTAAATGGAATTTAGATATTAAAATGTGTGTTCCAAATACAAAATATTGTGAAATATCAACGGATCTATTTGCATAATAAAAAGAAATTAACAGAAAACCTAACAAATCATGCCGAAGTTATATTGTCATGAAGTGCATGACAGAGATTAGTATTACACATTCTACTGTTTCATTTTAGGTTCTCCAGCTGTTCTTTTGAAAGCTTAATAAACCAAATATTTTCCCTCCTCACATGTCCCTGTCCAATACTTACTTTCTTTTATATAATATGGTATGACAGACAATAAAGGAAAGAAGGGAGGGAGGGAAAGGAGAGAAGGAAGGAGGGAGAGAGGATGGAAGGAAAAAAGGAAAGAACAAAGCTTACATAAAGATGTATGTATCTGGAGAAAGCAAACTGGTTATCACTGGTATTCTTAGATATTTGGGCATTTGGTGAGGTGAGTGTCAAAATTATCTTAGTATGAGTGAGGAGAACCCTGAGAAAGAACTAAGTGAATGGAAAATTGTATAGATAAGCATATCCTAGAAATTTTTCAAGCAGAAGTTGAGGGGGAATGTCAAGATTTAGTCAACAGGTGGTACATAATGATCAGACCTGAGACTTCTCTTTGAACAACACTCCCATGACTATGGCAAATTCTTTTAGAAAAAAAGAGGATATAAATTAAAGGTAAAATTATTATTTGACTAAGAATTATGGACAGATTTGGCTACTCAGATTGAGCATAGGGCATCTAACATCAAACATTTTTATATATTTATTAATAATTGTTTAATCTTAAAATAAATGATTTGGATATTTATTATAACAAATTTCCAGTAAGTGAGATAAATTGTTATAATAGGATAAGGTCAATATACATTATTCCATTTGGATTTTCAAAAGATGAACAATTTAATAAACTAAAGATCTGATCATCAAAAAATAGTGTATGATAATCTGTGCTTTTAAACAAGTAGCTGGGCTTCAAACTGATATAGACATCTATCTTTCTATCTATCTATTTCTATTTTATCCACCTGCCTATTTATCTAATCTATCTATCATTACATGTATGTACATATATATGCACATATGTTCAGAAAATAGAAAATATCTCATTGGTATTCAGGTATCGCCTATACTTAATATATTATTATTGTAGTTCACAACGTTTTTTGTTTACTGCTTTATAAAGGTGCTGCTAAGTTCCCTATTTAAGTCTAGAAGATGCTTTCATTATGACACAAATCATTGTTATTAATTAATCATTAATTACCTAAAAGTAAATATTAACATAGGCTTAAATTAGAGATTACTATATAATGATCCATATATTATAATGAAATAATTGCTATTTTTCACTGTGGAGATTTGGTCAGTACAAAAATTAAATGCTGTGTTAAAATTTTCTGTTTCCTTCGCATCTAGGCTATATGTCATATCATTTCATATTATGTTATGTTTTATTATTTTACAAAAATGTATCACAGCAGAGAAAAAAAACTTAAAGGATCCATTTCTATAGAAGTAAAGTTATAAAACAAACACCATACACAAAAGAACTAGGCTCAGATATTTTTACAAATGTAGTCAGTTAAATCTGCAAAGACCTAATAATATCAATACTATTTAAGTTGTTCTTGAGAATACACAAAAAAAATTTCTAAATTATTTTTATGAAGTGAATATAATAGGTACTAAAGCTTAATAGAATTATATTACATAAGAAAACTACAGACCAATCTATGTGTCTATTCATGAAAAAATATTAAGTAAAATATTAGCAAGTAGAATCCAACTACACGTTTAAAAGCTTAACACATCATAATAAAGTGAGATTTACTCCAGAAAACAAGGATAGTTCAATAACAGAAAGTTCATTTTTAAAATTTATCATATAAATAGGTTTATGAAGAAAAATGTAAAAAAAATTGTAAAAAAACGTTATAGTCTTCTGAAGTGCTAAAAATGTTTTTGTCATTCAACATCCACTTTTAAGAAGAATATTATAAATAGGAATTGATAAATACATACTTATCATGTAAAATACATACATCTCATCCAAAAGTCATTGTAACTCCCACTCTGTACTGAAGGCTCAGAATGACAAGCTCATGAGACACAACAAGCTTTAATCAAGACCAACTTTAAATTAAGAAAATTCATAGACTGGTAAAAGAGTACGAACTTTCAGTTATAAGAGGAACAAGATCTTAACACTGTATACTGTATAACTGAAAATTGCTAAGAGAGTAGAACTTAAATGTTCTCACACACACACACACACAAAAGAGGTAAATATGTGAGGTGTGAAGGATGTCTTAACTTGATGGGAGGTATCCTTTCACAATGTATATGTATATCTAATAATTATGTTTTATACTTTAAAAGGATATAAAAAAAGGACATAAAATAGGCAACACAGCATTCACATTAAGAGTCCTGTAAATCCTGGGCGCAGCTTCTGATATGCACAATCACCCCTGGGATGCACATGTTTCTGAGAAATGAGTCTAGGTAGGTGTAGATGGGAATAAAGAGGGAGGGACCCTCTCAGCTCAGGGAAGCCAGTAGCTTTGATGGCTCTTCAGTTTTCATACTTTGCTCTCATTCTTTTGTGCTGCTGTACATCATTAATTACTATTTACAAAAACTCAATCTCAATTACCTGTTACAGAGTGCTCAACTCAGTAAGTAATAACCTTATTAAAAATTCACATTTACATTGGCTCTGGTATACTCTTGTATATCCCCCCGAGTTAATGTTGTAAAGAGTTTAAATATAAGGCCACTTTTCTTAAAAAAAAAAAATACATACATACATTAGAAGAAAATATAGGTTAATTCTTTGTAGTCTGGAGGTGAAATTTCTAACAATAATGTAAAATCCAGAAGTAATAAAAGAAAATATAGATATATTTACTTATATTTTTAAATGACAAAATATACCATAAGCAAATTCAAAAGACAAATTATAAACTCTTATACAATTATGAATATTGTTCACACTTGCAAATTGAGGAAAAAAATCTTAAAACTCCATAGAAATGGCCAAAAAGTATGAACAGAGAATTCACAAGAAAAGATATACAAATGACCCTTACATACATGAAATGATGCTCATGTACTCATAATAAGAAAACACAACTTAAAAGTACCCTGAGATACTATTTCTCATCTATCAAGTTGACAAAAATGTTAAGAACACGCTTTGGGAAAGCCATAAGGAAACAAAGTATGCACACACATACATTGCTGGTCAGAACTCAGACCGGAAGAATTTCTGTAGTAGCCTACAAAATTGTTAATGGATTTACCCACTGACCATCAATCCCATTCTACACTAAAGACACTCCTCTGCAAACATCAAATGATGTGCACTATCTCCTCTGATCCGCTCCCCCTCGTGCGCATTTCACGCTGCACGTGGGGTTACTCTCCTCACGTAGCCACCCCAATCACGTCACTGAGACACCGATACCTTGTACTAGGCCAACACCCCAACACAGAGGCTCCCTCTCTACACTTCTTGAACTCTTACACCCAGTTCTATTGTTTCACCCATTTTGTGAACTGGAAAATTGAGAGTGA